AAAAAAAAAAAAAAACCTCAGGACCTAGAAACCAGATCCCTCAGGATTTGCTGTTCAGTCCTGAATTTCAGCTGAAAAGGTGAGTGTGCCCTCAGAAGAAAAGAATGTTTACATTCACTCAGTTGAGATCAAAATTGGACTCCTCACCCAAATCTAAAATGTTTGAGCTGTACTGGCAATAGAACTCCAGCCCGGTTTGAGGACACTGCCTCTGAAATCTAGAAAACCTCTCAGGAATCCCAAAGCCAGAAAGTCCTGGGTACCAGACAGGAACACTCACCGGGTACTCACCAGGCTTGTTCCCTGACATCTCAGGAACCATGTCGGCAGTGCCGGGCTTGGTGATGTGGACCTGCCGAGGACCTTGCCTTTCAAGCCAGCCTGGGCTACACAGTGAGAGTTTGTCTCAAAAAAGAAGAAACGGCGATAAGACATTACATTTTGTTCTCAGAACAGACCCAGCCCCCAAACACAAATCGTCCGCAAACCATTTTCAAACAGGACTCCCCCTGGTTGCCACATGGGACAGGGACAAAGCTAACTGCACACGGTGGGTCTCCCCTGGCCAGCTGCTGCCGTCCACCATAGGTGTGGCTGGAGGTCAGGACAGGCTGCCCAAATGGCCGCTTGGCTTCTGAGAAATCAGCATCAGGAAGGCGCCTCCTACCCCACTCCATCCTCTAATTCAGGGCATGACTCACTCCATGTGCCCCTCCCTGTTCCAGGAGAATGGGGGACCTCATCCCCAAGGAGATCTCTTTCTGGGAACTCGGCAACCATGCCTTATGCAAGTTCTATCCGTGTGCAGTTGTTACAATCTGACACTAGAGGGCGGTAAGTCCACGACCTCAACACTTGCCTGCTCTGACCTGCAGGTAATTAGAGCCTTCCCAGCCTGTTCCCCTTTGATAGCTCTCTCAGAAGAAGGGCCCTGCACCAAACAGAGCCCCCAGAGGATACTGCAGGCTGCATTTGCCTCTGGTTCCTTCTATAGCCTGGACAGGCAACCGCTGGTCCTGGGTTCTGAGCCGAACACGAACACGGAGTCTGTGCTCTGATGCTCCACACTGGGAGAAGCTGAGAACCATAAATCCACCATAGACCTGCACAGGCGAAGGTGTTGAGATGATCATAGTGTGGTTGGCTTTGTAGAAACCCAGGATGTTAACACTGGCTATTCTTCATTAGGAGGTTTAGCTGCCTCCTTTAAAATGCCTGCTTCATAAGTACTTCAGGGGGGTTTGGGAGGAGGCTTGTTTCTTGGTTTTGTGGTTGTCTTTCACTGTACAGGCTGACCTTGAACTTCTGATTCTTGTGTCTCCATCTAAAGGTAGATGTTATTCTAGAAGTTAATACTTCTCTTTAATGAACTTTCAATGCTAACCTAAGGCTATTTGGTGATTGATTCTGTCTTTCAGGACTCTTTCAAACTATTCCACTTATTTTTGTATGGTGGGCTTTACATTTGCACCCCATTAAAAAAGAGACCAGAGGGGTTGCATCCAGACAACAGAAAGAGGCTTGAAGACACCTCAGGAATCAACAAGAATTCACCCATCAGATGCAAGGAGAAGAGGAGGGGTAATACATAGGGAGGTGGTAGAGGGCTGTTTGAATGGACCACCCAGGGGAATTGTCTCTCGGGGATTCATTTCTGCTGCGTTCATCTGTTCGAGAACCCAAAGCCGCAGTAGCTAAGACCTCCCAGGCTCAGGCAGCGCAGTTTGCATCCATGGCAGCAAACTGGCATCGTCCATGCATTGCTGGTTTGCAGCCAAAGACACTACAAGATTTTGGGGTGTGGTGGTTTGAATAAGAGCGTCCTCCATTGGCTCATATATTTGAATGCTTAGTCACGAGGGAGTGGGACTCTTTGACACGCTTAGAA